TGCTGAAAATCTTTGTGATAGCCTTAAAACATATCTTCATACTTATTTATTACCTTTACAAACCGTGTAGATCGACATATCTATAAAAACTTGAAAATCTTGAAAATTGATAGTCAAAAAATAAGTTATAAAATTCACTATTTCCAAAACTTGACATCCAATTTTTGCAGTATTTCCAAAACTTGAAATCTAATTTTTTCTCATGTCCATGCATCTTGATGTTGAGATGATCAATTTGAAGATATTTAAATATCAAAACAACATCTTCCAATAAAATTTTTGAGACAGGCTCAAATTTGATTGTTTAGAGCTTTGGCTCTATATAAACTTTTTCGATTTAAAAAACTAAAAATAATAATTATATTAAAAAAATATTTGGACCCTAAGTTCCAATTGTCTTGGTGCATCCATCATGCTTTATAACCTTGGACCACATATTATACACATGCAATCCAAACCGCATGAATAAATCTCGTCACTTCTCTTCTTTAGGTCGTCAAAAAGAGGTTAATTTTCGGCAAGGAGTAGCCATGGAGCCTCAAAAACCATACAAAGGTTGTTTCTTTCATTTTATCTCAAGTTTTCCCGTGATGGCGATCACAATTCGGGTTTTTGAGGTGGCTGCCCACCTTAATGGCTGGCATTTTCAGAGACCCAATTTGTATATGTCTCAACCTGAAACAAACACCTATGTAATTTTATACCGGGGAAATACATTTTTTTTTTTTTAATAATAATCACTTTTTATAATTTTGGCAACAAGATAACTCACACGTGGTCTTATTACAAATAATAAAAATTCCAAAAATAAATAACACATCAATAAAATAAATCTCAAATACTTGATGCCATTCATACAACCTAATATTGTGCTTGAGAATATAAAATAAAATAAAAAACAAATAAAAGAAAAGATGTCAGCCTAAATCGAGCTTTTTACACCCTACACCGAGTCACCACATCCAATGGCGCGGGATCAGCGGTCTAGCTTCAATCTTGAACCTAGAAAGCTAATTTCGGCCAAACTAGATAACCACCTTTAAATCTCTCCAAAAACCCTAACTCCAAAATAATTAGACTTAAACCCTAATTTTCACAACCCTTAGATTAGATCATGAGAAAGAGAGAGGGTCATTTTCACAACCCTTAGATTAGATCATGAGAGAGAGAGTCTCTATGTTGTGCGTGCCCCCTAGGGTCCCTGTTAGGAGAGAGAGAGAGTAGAGAGAGAAAATGAGAGAGTAAGGAGAGAGAGGGGCGTGGCCGCTAGGGAAGATAGAAAGAGAGTTTGTGGGAGAGAGAGGTGTGTTGAGATGGAGGAGAAAGCACCCATATTTATAGTAAAATTTAGGTCTAGGGTTTCCATAGTTTGCCTCTTTCTTGAGATTGAATATAGACCGTTGATCAATGTGACTTGTGGGGTGAGAGATCTGAGCCATCCATTCTATAGATGGGCCATCAACATTATGGAAGGTGCATGAACCATTATCCCCCTTTTCTTAAACTATTTTCCCATCAATATATTTAAATAAATTAAATCCATTAAAGATATAGTGCATACCATAAATTGCATATTCCACCTCATATTTTTCATAAGAATATTTCAATAATATCAAGTCAACATATTCTTTTAATAATCAGGATAAGATATAGTCAATATTTCCTTATCAACATTTGACCACATGCTATAAGATGTAGTTACCATTTTTAACAAACTTGAAGACAAAACAAGATAAGGTATCCAAGGGTGGGGCGTGTCACAGTGGGCCCATGTGCACTATGGGCCCCCATGTAATTTTTTAATAAATATTTTAAAAAATAAATTTTAAAACATTATAACTTTGTAAATTAATAACTTCAGTTTTATAAGTCCAAAAATAAGAAATAAAATATCAAATGACTTATAAAAATTCAAATAATAAATCTAAAATAAATTAATAATAAAATCAACACAATTAAATTAATATGATGGGAAGTGGATCCATATAATTCAAGAATTTAATCAACGATCACGGGGTACTTCACCTTCAACTGTGGACTACAGACCACACTTGCTTTATCGAACCGATCCAGTATTTTTCATGACCCACAGTCCAAACAGGGGCTCATTAGCAAGTCACCAAAGTCTGGTCGATGAGCCAAGGAGTCGCAATCCCAATCTGTGGATTACAGGTCCTCCCCTAGCGACAAGTCAAGGTCACCACGACCTGATGCGACCACAGCTTTATGGCGCATAGGGGTATCTCTCGCACATGCATATGCTTAACCCAAAGGTGGATATCAAGCTTTCTCGAACGATTCATCTATATGCATGCCGTATGATGGAATATAGATGAGATTTTGGCCCCCGTATCGGTAGGCTACCATCACACACAAGGGTCACACAGTCCCTTGGCTCACTCATTTAAGCATAAGCTCCGACCTCATCAAGGGCTAACCCAAAAACCTTTCTCGGTTTATTTTTTATGCCCAAGTACCTTGATTTTTCTAACCGACTGGCCTAGATAGTCAAGCACAATCTGTTATCCACAAATATCATTTGCTTAGTATAGTCTTCGAGGGACCACACTCCCACTGAGTTTATGTTCCACTATAGTAAATGTTTTTTATCACACACTCATAAGGCGTTTAAAGGCCACATAAACCCAACATATCCCACTTGGCCTTTGAGGGCCTTACATTCTCTCTTCCTCACTTTCTCTCATCCTCATCTCTCTCACATGTCTTACAAAAACGTTAGGGATAACTCCTTTAATCAGAGGGTCTGCAATCATCAAATCTCTAGATATGTATCTGATCTCGATCTCTTTCAATCTCACCTCATTTCTCAAGTGATAGAAGTATGGCGTGATATGTTTGGAATTCTTATGAAACTGAGGTTCCTTACAGACATAAATAGTCGTCGTGTTGTCGCAGAAAATTCGCACTGCCTCACAACATACAAGATGGAAATTAAGTTGATTAATAAACTTCTTAATCCACACAGCCTTCTTGGCTGCTAGACAGCATGCCACATACTCAGATTCCATGGTGGATAAAGCTACAATATCTTGTTTCTTTGACTTCCAAGAAAGTGCACCCCCTCCAAGTATAAACACATACCCATATGTAGATTACGCATCATTTGGATCCGCGAGATATCTTACATCTGAATATCCCTCTATTGTTATTTCAGTTCCCCCCTTATATGTGAGCGCATAGTTCATGGTCCCCTTTAAATATCTAAGAATTCTTTTTAGTGCTTTCCAATGCTCCTCTCTTGGGTTGCTTTGGAAACGGCTCACCAGACTCTTGACGAAGGATAAGTCAGACCTTGTTCCCGTCATGGCGTACATAAGGGACCCAACTGCGCTCCTGTATGGCACTCTATCTATGGCTCTTATATTCATGTCTTCGGTAGGACACATTTTATTATTAAGCTTCGTCTTTTTGTCAATTGGGGTTGACATGGGCTTACACATACTCATATCAAACTTTTCCAGTATCCTCTTACAATAGGTTACCTGAGAAAGTTGGATAGTCTTCTCTCTCCTGTTTCTTATTATTTTGATGCCCAACACATATGAAGCTTCTCCAA